CCATGGAACATGCACCTATCCCCGTCCAGCTTCAAATCGAAATCTGGATCCTCTGGGCTCACGTGGCCTGGCACGGCCTCAGGGCAGCAGCGGCGCGAGCAGCGGATCATGAAGCCCTTCCGCTGTGTCTTATAGTCGCACAGCAGTTTGCATCCTTGGACTCTTCCAAAACAGCGCTCACAAAGGTCATACCCAGTTCCCCAGTCCTCATCGAGAACGAGCCTGGTGAAGCGTTTGCCCACCGCGTTGCATGCTGGCTTGTCTGCCAACACACCCTCTCCAGGCTTATGGATTCTTCCATATCCGGTGACGAGCTGGATGAAGTGCGGGTGGAAGTCGATGTCGCCTTGCTCTGGGTCAATGAGCGAGCCGTCGGAGTCGTCGCCTGAGCTCAGAGAGCCGAGGTCCGAGAGCGCAGCATCTGAGAACTCCTGCGATCCCTCTCTGACGAACTCCGACTCTTGGTTCACCAGGCTTTGCAGACCTTCCTCGTCTCCTTCTCCTGCTCCACGAAGCTCGGGTCGCACATCCAAAGCCGCAGGCGCACGCTGGAGCTGCAACTCCGGATCCCCAGTAGCTGGGTTCTCGGTGCAGATCACGGCACGCTCCATGGCTCCTAGGAAAGGTTCTCCTCCTTGGAACTCGGGAACCTTCCCGGATAGGAGGTAATCATTGACGGTGCCCCAGTCTGGCTTTAGTGGTCTGTGATCCAGCGTTACGCCGGTCAGCGATTGAACGGCTGCTCCTCGTCGAATCTGATCCATCACGCGCCACTGCGCCTTCAGGACGATACTCTGCGATTCTCGCAGGTACAAATCGCTCATAGCCTGCGAGGCCTTCTTCCAGGCTCCCTGGTACCTCACTGTGCGTGGAGTGATCCCGAAATGAACCATGTATGAGGGGATCGTGTTCTTGCAAGAGTGCCACCGCAACTTCCTAATTGCAACCTCACTCAGCGGAACATCTTTACCTTGTTTAAGGTCGTCCAACAAGCACTTCTTGACGACGAGCGTATCCTCTGTGATCAAAGGTGGGCACGTGCGGAAGCCTCCCATACCATCCGATGCGCAGCCAACAAAATCGTGCTTCCTCCAACCTTCATCTCCTGAAAAGCCACTCGCCAAGTTGTGCATTCGAATCAGGAGGTCAACCCACACGAAAAGCCACTGATCGTTACTGGCAGAGACTGCCACCCAAGCGGCGGCCCATGGTCTGGGACCGCTTTTGGTGTATGCAGCCTTTGCCCTCAACCCCAAAATTTCTGTACGTCCAACCGGCCGGCACCACTCAACCGCGCTCATAGAAGTGCCACCTAGGTCGCTGTGTCGAACACTCGCCTGAATGCAGACTCTCAGCTTCCCGCAGGCCACCCTGGTCTGTAGATCTCTTCCTGAATCCAAAACCACGCTTTCAAGATACTCCAGCATGCCCACTTCAAAAAGGGGGGCTGGGTTGCGTTCAGGCGCCTTTGCAGAGTAATCGTTAGCCATTTTCCGGATCCTAGCGTGCCTCGGCCCCGGAGTCTCGAAGCCGAAGACGCCACCGAAATGCTCGATTGCGTAAACAAGGCTCTGTGGGGTACGGAAACCTGCGCCCTCTGAAATGAGCTGGAGGACAAACTTTTGCATGAAGCCTTCGCTAAAGAGATCCTGGGGTGCCTTCTCAGGGTCACATTGCTCCTGGTATGCGTCGACATAACGCCTGAGCAACCTCACATAGCGAAGTCCCGTCCCGGCCGACCGTGGCTCGGTGAGGATGTGGAATCTATCCTCCAACAGCTCCCCACCTTCTACCACTGTCTCTACCAGGTCCATCTTTATCTTCAAAACGACCAGCTCCTCAAAGAGCGCCTTGGACAGAGAACGGAAGGTTTCCAACTTCTCAGTCTCCAAGGGATTTGACCGCGAAGGCAGCTTGATTGGAACATATCCGCCGGCCTGGTCAACGAGCTCCCACTCACGCTCCGGAGGTTACGCCTTCTTTTTAAAATTCTTGAAGATACCGCTCTCCACCAATTCCGCTATAGGCTCCGAGGGCGTGTACTCGAACTCCGACTCTACCGCCTTCCCGCTCTTCTTATCAACATCTTTTGTTTCAGGCTTCGCCCAATCCGGCAACGTCTCAACTGGCGGGACTGCCTGCTTTCGGAAAGTCATACGGGGCCCATCTCCTTTCCGTGCCCACTCGGGCAGACCTGAGGAGCGGCCTCCCGCAGCCGAAGTTGGAGATACTGACACGGGGCTCCCATGTCCGGGTTTCTCCCAGGGAACTCCCCGGGGTGGTCCAGATCGAGATGTAGTAGAGCTCACCCCCGTATCTCTTCCTGGGCGTGGGGTGGTACTGCTCCCAGGAGTAGACGAGCCAGAGTGGGGAACCGTCTGCTCAAAAGGGGGGAGGGGAAAATCTCCCTCCTCTCCCTTTCGGATCTCGCTCAGAATCTCTCTAGCGGGAACTCCCGCCTCGATCATCTTCGCGATCTCTACGCGGGCCGCCCACGCGCCGATGGCCATCAGTCCTGAGGTCTTTCCCAGCTTTGCACCGCCGGGACGAGGCGACAGAGCTGCCTCGGACCTCTTCATCTGATGGCCACGTCCCCTCTCCCACCCAGCCATTCTCCCCCCGCTGTAAACAACGAGGAGGATGGTTGGTGGGCTTCAAGCCAAAATGGCCACATTTTGGTTGTGCTAGACGAACATTCACGATAGTACCCAAGGGCACAACTGGTGAATGCCTGTGTCAGGATGTGGGTGGGTAACGACCGTCGAGCGATGGTGTGGGGCAACCAGTCACCCTATCAGTTCATCTACATCGCACACACCAAACAGGTTTCGCGGATTTTCGCGACACGTATTTCAGGGACCTTGGCACCCTTTGAACTCGATCAAATGTATGAGTTCATACTCAAACTCCATAGCCATACTTCAGGTTTGGCACCCAAGTATGGCTTTGTATGGCTCTGGAATTCTCAACAAACCCATCGGTCGAAGAGATCCCAGGGACCATCCTCCCGGGCGGCGTAGACCACCGCCAGGCCCGCCTGGAGACGCGGAGACGCGGCGGTGGAGCGGCGCCTGGAACAAAAAGCCTCCTTGGGTTGGAAGACATAGTCAAAAGAAAGACCTTTTTTGAAACGTTTTGCAATATGTCTTTGCCAAACGTCGACTCAACTCGTTGGATCCTATCTTGGATGTTTGGCTATGTTTGGTTTTTTCTTTTGCCTTGTTGGATCTCTTTGGGTCCAACGGTTTATTTGATCCACTGGATCCAACGCGGAGTCCGCGTCTCACCCTTGGCAATGCCGGCCCAGCCTTTTCGGAGACCACTGCTCGGTTTGGCAGAACCTCATGAGAAACCTGCCTACCACCGTCAAACGACACTGCTAGGTGTTCAGCAGCGCATGATTCCTTCGCACTGAGCGGAAGATTCAGTCAGTGGTTCAATTCTGGAACTCCAAAACCACCTCTGACCAACTGCCCAGTTTTGTGAGGGATGAAACAAGTACCTGGTACTTGTGTGTTTATACTGTGGAACTGATCGTTGGTGGTAAATCCCCTGTATATTGCCATATATTATTGCCATGTTTAGGTGACAAAACGCGGTCGTTTCGCTCCGATCCTCGTCCAGCCCTCACCTGATCCTCCTCATGCATCATGGCGGCCGCGGCCGTAGTAGCGCCATCGGCGTCGAGAGTGAATGTCTAGAGTCTAAGGCTAGTGAAGATTGGCCGATCAGCCCTACAACTATGAAGTAAGTGGATGACGAGAGAAATCACATGCTCAGATTATCTTGAGAAAAATCTTTAAAAAACGAACAAGTGTATAATAGTGTATATACAATTGTGCAAAAATTGCTGTGCTGGCTCTTAACATGCTTGTGACGTTGGAGATGTATGGGCTCCATGGCAACGACTTTGTGTTTTGTCTGCTTGAGCTGTCAAATTCACTGTAGGATCAAATTCCATTTGGTACATGTCAAAAAAGAAACGCTAAGACCGCTAAGAAAGAGTGAAACAAGAACTCCCTTGCATGCATGTGTCGAGCGTGGCAAGATACATGTTGCCAGCACTGCATTCTCCTCATTCTCCTCTGACTTTTGTGTTCTTCAGCCTCACTCTTAAAGTGTGGCTTGACAGGAACAAAAGCCGAGCATTTGATCACAAAACAACCAACGCAAGTGACAAACTTTGAAGGCAAGTATCATTCTTGCAGGTGTCCCTCACTGATATCAATCAGACTGCATCTTATTGACCTTGAGATGTCTGCAAGTTTACTGTTCAAGGCCTGCTGGCTCGTTTTCTGGTAGCATGCACATTCATTTACAAGCTACTTTGGTAGTCACAAGCACACAGGCTTTTGTTTGAGCCATGCTAAACTAGCAGCATGGCAGAATACCCAACCAAAAAGTGCATCTTCATCTTTCAAACCTCCAAATGTTTTCGAGGGCCATGTCGCTTTTGGCGGAAGCGTATTACACTCCGCCAAACTAACATGACCCCCACCTTCGCAAATACTTTTCCCAACTGCCCACTGTGAGTGGCCTAGGGCTATTAGGGGCAAGGGACTGGGCAAGGGTAACGGGCCGAAACTGGTCTCGACGACAAAACTTGTGGGATCGATTTCATGCGTCACGACAGAACATGTGAGTCTTAGAGACCAGAAGATCCATCTCTCATCGACTGGGAATCAAGGAAGATCTCTATATATATATATATATTATAGATACTTCCTTTCTGCAGATCGAATTGGCCCCCGTAGCTAAGCCACTCTGAAGAACCGGATGGACTCCTGGAAGGGAAGATCATTGGGCCGTTTGGGCTTAGATCCCGTGAAGAGGAGTGAACTATGCCCGAAAGTCTCAATCCAAATAGTCTTGGGTCTTCTCCCCTTTTTAACACAATTAGGTAAAAGAAGGGTGTGAGGCTGTCCGCTACCCCGCGGACACCTTAGGTGTCTGTGGAAGCTTTCACCACTATGTCAACTACAAAAACGACAATAAGGAACCCCTGCCCTACCTGCCCATTGAGTCAGCCTTTTCAACTAGTGAAACAAGGGTCGGCCTGCGTCATCGCCAATCTCAGCATACCTCAGGCAATTAGAAGAGAATCACCAGGTAACTCAAACATCCAAGGGTCTTCTGTGCGTTATGAACTATAGACCACCTTGTGGTTGTCAAACTAATGACGACAAAGGGATTCCTTTCCTTAAACGTCCTTTAATGATGTTCTGTGTTGGATCCATTTACCGGACTTTGCGCCGTCGTCTGTCGCCTGGGCTGAAAAGCCGCAAGGACTTCATCTTTGGCGCCACGTCTAGAGTCCAAGTCTTTGGGGGGGCATGAGTTTATTTGGTTCAAGATCTTCAAGTTAGTTCGGTCAAGAACAGTAACCGCTAAAACAAGCTGACACGTGGAGAAGTCTGCCTTCAAAACAGCTGTCATTCAACAACATCCAATTTTGCATGCACTTCCCTGAAGCCAAAACACTTCACGACCTGTCATTGCGGAAAAAGAGCCGAAGTTCACGGCCATCCTGTCCTTCTACATGGTTCAAAGCACCACCCAATTTTGCACGCTTTTCCAACATGCCAAACCAAATATCCATTACAGTAAAAACAATATTCTACACATTCAGCACAGGTGCTAAAGGAATACTCATGCAAAATCCTCTGGAAGAACTTATCTCTAGAAAGTTCCGCCAATAGATCTTGGCTCATGAGGACATCGGTGGCGAGGCTTCCCCAACTCAGTGACCGTACAAATCCCAACCATATTCAATAGGGCCCGCATGGAACCCACACATCTTCTCCCGTTCCTGCGACTATGCTGAACGCGACCACTAATTAGTCACTACTCTGTCGTGCTTCAGCAAAAATAGAATACACGTGAATACAAATCGCAAAACTACCAAAAAAAGCCAGCAAGCAACCATCCATAAAAGGGATAAAACAGGAATGGCGAAGTAAACCCATCCGAACACGCATCTCTACCGTTCCCTGCTCTCTTCCACCGACCTCGCCAGGGCACGCGCTCCTTGGCACACCATCCCCCAAGCGCCTGGGGGCAGAGCCTGAGGCCGGCATGGCCAATAGCAGAGCTGTTCTGAAGGAAGCCAGGATGAGATTGAATATGTGGAAGTCAAAGAAAGCATACGAAAGCGAGTCAAGGGATTGATCTTAATAGTCTTGCCTAGATTTTAGAATGTGAACTGGAGTTGCCTTTGACTCACCACAAGTAGACAGTCTCAAAATGAGGGGAGACCGTGTGACCGTTCACCCCTATTGGTATTGCTATGTTCAAAAGGGAATGGCTATTGGCTGCGGCTTTGATGTTGATGGAGGTGGATGGCTATGTCTCAAATCAAGTTCTAGTGAACGATGAAAGATAACGCACATTCTGTTCGGAGGATCACATTTTGAAAGAGGTTCAACAGTGGAGGATTAAACGAAAGGACTCTTATATAACCAGGTCATCCAGGTCATCCAAAAGAGTCTTCTACATCTGGGTCTTAGTAATGAGACACCCCAATCAAAAGATGGCCTTCTGTTGAGTGATGTATGATATGGACTATATAGATGTTGAGTATTCTCTCTCACACCCATGAACCATCGGGTCAATTTGATCTTGTCACATTAGAGGTCCTGTCTGTTCACATTCCACAGCACCCAGCTGGCTGAGGAGGGGTAGCATTCCTATCTCAGGGGCGCCTGTAGAATCTTCACCAGAACATAAGCGATCAGGTGACGGGTGCAAATGGCTAAAGCGGCTAAAGGTTGCCTCCAGAATGCACAAAAAACACAAACCACCATAAACAACCCAAATCCGAATCCCTTTTTGCCAAAGACACGAAGCCATGGTTTTCTCATATCGCCCTCGATCGCCCCAAAAACATCGCCCTCGATCCGCCCGCCTGTGAGATGTCGCATGGATTGAGCCCATTGGCTCCACGAACCCACCGGCCTCGGGACGGACAGCGTCGCTTCGGAGCCCGGAGACGCTTCGGAGCTCGGAGACGACGCTTCGGAGCTCGGTTTCGCTTAGAGCTGAGAAGAACTGTGATGATTATACCTGTTTTTGTCTTCCTGGCCATGGTTGGTTCCACAAGGCATCTATGTACAAGTGTTTGTGATTTTTGTAAGAGGTTCTCCAAGGTACCAGTAGATGCTCAACTAGAGGAGCAGCCTTCCAAAAAGGAGATGCACATCAACGACCTCCACCCTCTCATGCTGGCCATGAGGCTTCTTCTTGCGACCACCCAGCAAGGACTGACAAGCCGGCTGGAACTGAGGACACAGATCTATCGAATCGCTTCATAATCTACAGGTCCAAGAAAAGATAGAAATGGTGTCCAATACGTGTTCAAGGGGAATTGTTCGTTATATCTATTTTGGGAAAAAAAACTGCTGTGTACCTTTGAACAGATTTGCGGTCAAGGGATTGATGGGGCCTTGATCCGGAATTGTGGTGCGATTGACAAGTATATAATAGATAACACACATTAACAAACTATAATACTAACAACTCTGAAAGCATGCATCAACCGTCCCTTATTGTTTGACCTATGTATATCATCATCATGATGACCCCAAGCTGGCTGTGGACTACACTCATCAGAGTCATAACAACTCTCAGCTCAATGCCGGTGATCCCTTTGTACTTTCAGGGGTTTCTCGGCTGGGGAGCCGGCGCAGGATCTCAATTTCAGTGGCTGGGCGCCCAACATGAGCAAAATGTCTGCTAAAACTGTTGTCCAACGTGCCACAGGGTTGGTGTTTAGGTTTTGACTGCCATCCATCATAATCCAGGACCTCAAACACTCTAGCTCCATGCTACAGTAAGTTGGTTCAATGCCTGATACAATGTCCATCGGAATGGATGAAACTCGAGAAAGGAACTCACAAGTCTTATATAATCAAGGCAGAGCGAGCTGAAACCATGGAAATATTGGCAACTAATGGCAACTACACATCACCTGGGCATGGGAATGCCTTACACGTGCCCGGATACTAGTATTGAGCTCTTCCCTGTGACAACCAAATGAACGTGTACTGAACGGTGTCGAATAAAACCGCTACAAAGCTTCTCCAAGCTGCACCACCCTTGACACCGACTTGGATAAACCCCAAAGCCGAAAATCACCTGAAAAGTGTTGACCAAAAGTTGGGCAAGCTTGGCGTACTAAACTGCGTACTATACACAACTGTGGGCAAACTGTGGGCAGGGCGTGCCAAAGCTGACAGATTATTTGATTTGGTCGGAAAAAAAGCATTAAGTACAAATTATTGACCTGAATTCACCTCTCTCAGCCTCCTGCACTTCTGGTGACAACTCCCCGCACCCACATGCAGTCTGACTGCCTCGCCAGCTGAATGGCTTGGGGCCTCAAACAATGGGTCCTCGCCGGCCTGAGCGCTATAGGTCGGTCCTTCACGGTACTTCTGTGTGTGGCGAGTGGGACAAGAACGGTTCTCAACAATGCTTTGAGGCTATAGAAAGTGTCTTTCGCATACAAACAGAGCCAGTTAATCTTGACATGCTATGTCCCCACAATACGCCTTGGATTGAAACTCTAAACTGAGATTCTCCGCTAGACTGGTAGACCTCTGAATCACTTCAATAGATCACTTGTCCTGTTGGCGTCGGAAGATCTGCGCATGATGGTACAACATTTAACATGTTGTACAAAACGTTTAAACAGAACCCACCTGCCAATAAATCGTGCTAGGAACATCAACTCTTACTGGACGCGGGATGAATCGAATGAAATCGTCTGGTGAGGTCGCTGGCAGCTGGGACCACCTGAAACGCGCTATGATGTTGTCTCTATTCGAGAAACATGCAGGACATCTAGTCGGACTATGATTGTCTTGAAGACATGCTTCTTCCTACTGTTCGTTCCCCTGAAACATCGTGGGCCAATCAGTTGGTTTGCATATTGGACACCGTGAGACCCCTGAAACAATGGCTTTTTGTCTGGCCGTCATTTCACCAACTAATCTCCTGAGGGTCTCCCTATTCCTACACACCGGGCTTTCTTTCATTGTTTGGAGTTGTATTGCAAAAGGGGAACCTCCCAACCAATGGATGAAAAGTATGTTTTTGCTTTTCCAAGAGATCTTCCAGGGGTCTCCCTGCTCTCTGATACACCTCCATTTGCTGCTTCTTCCAACCGTTCTGCGGCGCATGCTCCCGTTATGCAGCCCAAGCCACCGCCAACTCACCATCCGCGGAGCTCAGCGCTGTGAGCGCTCCCCGCCACTGCCGCTCCGAGGGGGCGGGCGCGGGTGGGGCATACCTTGGAGCGAAAGTGGAAGATCATCTGGGAAGATCCTCAATTTACACCAAATCATTGAGTGATTCTTGCGGGTTTGTGGAGCTGAGAAGAATAGGAACCTCAACTGCCTCCAATGTATTTGATTGGTGTTGGTTTTGAGGGTTGTCTGTAGCCAATTGGCTGGGTTCGGCTCAGCCCAAAGTCAGACTAAGCACAGTGTGAGGTGCCACCCGGGTTTCAAGCGGCTGGGCCTTGAGTCATCTGACCATCAGGTTTGGGCAGATTTTCCTCACTGCTGCTTGCTTGCTTACATCATGCATGATTTTCTGTTGCGGAAACCCATGTTTGCCCAGTATTTGCAAAAGGGAAAAAAGAGAAGAAGGGGATTTCCATGGCTTTCCTGTGAATGATAGTTGCTTTTCGTTGCAATTGGCCCAAATTAACAAGGATTCCTGACCATCGTTGCTTTGGTTCTATTGCTCTATATTGACCTTGGTGCATCTATCCGTTACAGCACCTGGGCTAGAGTGACCCATCCGATGTAAAACGCCGCTGGCTCAGATCGTCGATCGAGACGAGGTCAACTTGAAGAGAATTGATTGGGGGAAAGGGGGGGCAAAGGGGATCACTCCAACTCATTGAAACTCACTCAAACCTGCACTGAGGAAACCGCACGGACGTGTCCAAAGGGTTGCTTGCCATGTGGCCCACCACTCAGGTGCTTGGGCTCCATGGTCGACGTCGCCGAGGCCTTGGAGGACTGAAGTTGGGCATGTACTTGGCGACTGGATGCCTTATGGACATCAAACCGTCCGGGAACCATCTGCTTTGGAGTGATTCGCCCTATCCAAACCAAACCTTGGGGGTCGATGGACCATGTGAGGGCCGTGGGGGCAGAGCGTTTGGTTTGGAATGTTGGATCATTCCATGCCGAAGAGTCTAGGACGCTGACACTGGGCGTTACACTCTAACGAAGACATTAACAATATGAAATATGATGTCTAGGACCTGGGCATCCTGTGGACCCAACCCGCAAAGACCAATACGGACATGTTTGCCTTCGGCCATAGGGGGTAGTGATGTTGCATCTGTTGGCAAGGTGTTCTAAATCAAGAATCCACAGGGTTGTGGGATACCAACCACTTGGATACTTCAGTATGTGCCGTTGCCATCTGTGTCGTGAGTTATGCATCACAAAAGACTGAAACCTTGCATGTAGTTGGCAGCATGAAAATCCTCATGCGTACCTCTATCAACTTGCTGATCCATGGATTCTTCCCCCACACCGATGCTGGTCCGAACACTTTAACTCCACCCGGCCAAACTTTGTCCCAGGACCCCTGCCAAGTTGTATGTAGCCTTTGAAAGGGAGACTGAACATTCGGAAGTTGTTCAATTGTACCCTCACTGCACATCTCTTGTGCGGCCATGAGGCATATGGATCTTCGACAAACATTTATGGCACTTCAGAAAGAATGTAGACTATCGAATCATGCCGGTGAATCGTGAATTTCCTCTTGTTACTAAGTTACGGTGGAAGGAAGCAGTGCTCGAATCTCCTTAGTATTGGCACAGGTTGTATGCAACTTCATCCAGGCTCAACCTCAATCCAGCTTGAATGACTGTGAAAACCAGCAAACACCCACCAAACAAGGAAAACAACTCTTTCACAAATGCTTTTTCAGCATTTTGAAGCCAAGGTTGTAGGTGGGACTACCCGCCAAAACACCCAAGCTGGATATACTTGGAGAAAATAATGGAAGATACGCCTGATACGCTTTCTTTGTTTTCTCTTTTTACACCTCAGCCGCTTTGGTAGAACGGTCATCCATCGCATCGTTGAGGCCCCGGCGCTTGCGCTGCCTGCGGGACCAAAGGGTACTTGATCCGTGGAATGGAAACGCAACAGAACCCATGGTAGAAGGATTTCATTATAGGGCGTTTGCGGCAGGGAGGAGGGAGACAAACATTGAAACATATTGAAATCCATGCCTGTGCTAGTCAGCACAGAATGGGTGTTGAACCCTGTAAACAGTCTGTTTTGGTGCTTCTTCTGAGCCCCTCCTCAATGTTTGGAGTCGGACATCCCATCTCCCACCACAGTGACGCGCCGGCAACGATCGGTTGCGGTCCTTCCAAGCACCGGCAAAACATGGCGAACATACTTTTTGATCGAGAACATCGGTCAACAAGTCCCATCTTCAAACTCACCAAGCAGCAACAACTCCCAAGTCCCCGCGCCCACAGAAACCGCCCGCCCCCGCCACCGAGGAGAGCTACCTAAACCCTCATCCCTCCGGCCTGTGATGAGCAACTCCTGTCCATTTGAGCCGCTGACATGTGCCACGTCGTGCACGCCGGAGTGCGGCACCTCAGGGAGCAGTCAGCGGGGGAGGGAGCGGTCAGCCGTGTAGCCTTCCCCGACACAGTCCTGGAAAATGACTGGGTGTCATCTGTAAATATATAGATCTATAGCGCGGACGGGAGCACGAGTCTGACACGCTCAGCTTGGGCAGTGAAGATGATATGATATAACTAGAATCTGGAAGAACATGTGCAAAATAGTTTCTTGGGAGGTTAAGGGGAATACTTCTTACAACCATGGAATTCTCTTGATTTCAAAGTAACCACTGGAATTCTTCCACCTGATTCTTCATCCCACTTCTTCTGGTCTCACTGAAGGACGACAGGACAACTCAGCCCAGGCGCCCTGTCAATGTGTGTTGCCTGTCCATACAATGACTTCGTTGTGTCGCCAAGGCATAAACACGCATAAACAACAGTTGTTTTTGCCAAGAATGTTTCATCCGTCAAAGCCTACAGGAGGCATTATATAAGTTTGATGATGAACAAGCCAGTCTGCTGGGGATGCTGGTTTAACACATGTTCGGGTTCCACCACCCTCAGGCCATGGCTAGTTGAATGGCACGCTGTAGACTCTGGACGAATACCACTGAACCCTGTGACGAGACATGCCTGGTGGCTGTTACGGTCAGGGGGTTCCCTCCGATTTCGGACTCCAATGGGTGCACCGTCCTCCGTGCCGTTTGCGACACCACTGTCAGTCCAAGGAGTCCGCTGTTTCAACATGTTTGGTGCATTCGAAAAACAATGTTGATATGGGATACTGGACATCTGGACACATGGTCTTTGGGTCTGTGGGAGGACCTCCTATTCTACCACGAACTTGCTGGAGACTTGCGTGACGAAAAGGTGGACAAGTGTCAGCATTTCGGAATGGTGTTCGTCCAACATGGCCAAGCGAAATCACGGAACGACCGTCATATCCTGGACGAAAACAACTCGAATCGCGTTTTTTGACCTACTCTCCCAGCAAACATGGAAGCAAACAACTCCCTTTTTGTATAGAGGAACATAATAGTCTTTCCAGATCTTACCAGTGGTCATTTTCCACTTCCGTGATTGTTGGAGGGAGGGTAAAGCCTTGTGGAGAACTCGCCTGGTTGGGTGTTTCCTGCTGATTCCTAGTGAGAAGCCTTCATCTGGTACTGAAAAGCTCCTAAAAATCCAGTCTGCCAGGAGGACGTGTCCTCTGCGTGAGTTGAATGAAACTCCTGATGTTAAACCCCCCCAGTTCCGGTGCCTCTGTTGAGCTGTTCCGTGGCTGGCGGGACAGCAGCGCGGCCCACGATTCGGACGAGTTCGTCTCGGGGATCTGACGTCCATGGGCCTTTTCAATCCAAATTGCGCCACTTGGCTCTAACAAGAAACAGTGTCACTGTCAACAACAACGTCTGATTCCAGAAAAACGGTCTAAAACAAGTTCAGGGTTCCACAGTTCCACTATGTTTCACTGGTGTGCTTTTCATTCGTCGTCATACGTTCCGTGACCATTGGGGCCCTTGGGAGGCTACAAACTTTTGACCTACACCAAAATGCTGTAAGAACATGATGGAGACCCTGCAGCGGAGCGGTAGATGGTCTACGCTTATCGGACTTATCGGAACACTGACAGCCTCAGCAAAGTTTCTGGCCATACAAACAGTCTGGCGAGCATGTTATCTGCACACGACGAGGTAAAACAATCGATAGGGTGCATCAGGGTACATCCAATTCTTTCCACCTACAGTAAACGGTTGTCTGCGTACGTTTTAATTTCCTAAACCCAAGGGAACTAAAAAATAGATCTAAACTGCCGCCAATCGTGAACTGACTTACCCTCATTCTTAATGAAACATGAATTTGAATGAACATGACAAACAAACTTGTTTTCCTGGGCTTCACATCCAAACCCTATAGTATCCTATAGTAACTTGAGGCCGAGGGTAGGTGACGAAAGCTAGCAGGGGTGCATCCGGACTGGTGGGACATCAAGCGGAGTGAGGCAAATGCTCATGAGGTAAAACGTTGTGAACATGTAAGACACACAAACAGCAATGACACAGCCAACCTTAGAATTGAAGGCCCCGATAATTAAGGAAGCGTGGCTGGACTTTGCCACACTGTTCGATGCATCCGATGTGTTCACGAACCTGTGAGCTTGTTGAATCTGTTGCACCGTATCCCAAAACCTCCACGGAGGAGTTGAACCAGTGTGGATGCCATAAGAGGTGCCCAA